CGGGCGGGGACAGCGCGGTGGCCGCGGGAGCCTGGGCGGGTTCCTCGGGGCCGCTCCCGAGCCGGCGGGTTACAGGCGACGGGTCCTGCTTAGGTGAGGGTGGGAACCCAAACCTCTAAACACACAGGTTCTTTATTGCACTCTGATGCAGATCTTCTGTGCAAATGAGATCCACGGTGGCTGGCGTGCTAGAGAGATGCCTAAGCACCTTAATTTTATTTGTTGTGGCAGATCTGTAACGCTCCAGGAAGTCTTTATATCTGATTTTAAGAGGGAGAGGAGAGCAGCTCCCTGTTTCGTGAAGGCTGAAGTCGTTCTTTATATGTCTGAAGAAGTTTGGTGCAGCCGAAGCAGCTTGAAGGCCAGTGGCTAAAGGAGGGGGTGGAAAAAGGTCTGAGTGAGACACTTGTACTGCTGCTGAAGGAGCCACCCTGCTCCTGAGGTGTTTAAAGACACTTATGAACAGTGGTGCTGCTCTTAGTGCTTAGTTTGTGTGCAGGCAAAGAGTATGGAAAAGATAAATAAAATTTATAGTAGCAAATCATGTAGGCTGTAGCTTAAAATGGGTGAGGCACAGACTCCATGACCTTATGGGTCCCTTCCAACTCGAGATATTCCAAGATTCCATGAATCTGTTTGACAAATTCCATGGTAACTGAAGTTATGCAGCTCTTTAGGGTTTGGTTTCCTCAGGACTAGAGTTGAAGATGTTGGTAGCAGACAGATGAGTGCCTGTGTTGTGTAGTGTCAAGGGAAGATGCAGATCCCAGCCTGAACAAGCAACGTTTCATGGGGGTGTTGTGAGAATAAACACTGGAAAGTTGTGTTATAATAAGATATAGAGGCTAGAAAAGAAAAGATGTATGTTCTAAGGTGTTATGAGAATACTTGTGTGGCTTTAAAAGAAAATAATATTCCTTGTGCTACTAAAAAGTGTCTAAACTTCCCCTGTCTTAGGAATCCTGAATTCTCCAGTCCTAGAAAAATGCCTCAAAAAGGGAGAGAGACAGTGAAGAACTGTGAACTGGACAGATTTTCACTTAAAAAAACCCCAAACAACCAACAACCTGAAATGAAAGGATGAGTCAATGTGAGGGGTGAGCCAGAACACAGCAGTGACACTGTCCTTGGTGTGTGCACTGCTGCTGATTCCTGACTCCAAGCTGTTGGCTGTGGAGGGTGCTCAAACCCCTCAGTTTGCCCTGTGGCTTTGTGGTGGCACATCTGCCTGTGCCTGGGTGCAGAGGAGGGTTTGTTGGCTCTGAGCTCAGTGGCACCAGGGAAGCAGAGGGCTCTGTGAGCTGACTATCCCAAGAAGACAGGAGCCAGAGGATAAACATTCTTTCTGTGGTTGCTTCCAGGTTCTGGGAAAGATGACCACGCTCACGAGACAGGACCTTAACTTTGGGCAAGGTAAGGTGTTGTGCTAAGCTCTAAACCTTGCTTCTTCCCCGAGGGTGTGGGGTGGTTGTTGGAGGCTTGCTGTATCCCCAAACTTCCTGCAGCTGAGGGGAAGCAGGTGAAATTTATGCAGGGAAAAATACCTTCAATATATCTATCTATTCCTGTGAGAATAGGGCATTGCTCTGCATGCTGCCCTCCCTTTCCCTGCTTCAGCAGCCTTGACTTCTGTTTTTCAGTTGTTGCAGATGTTCTCTCAGAATTTCTGGAAGTGGCTGTTCACCTTATCTTATATGTCAGAGAAGTTTACCCTATTGGGATCTTTCAGAAGAGGAAAAAATACAATGTACCTGTTCAGGTAGGAGATTTTCCTGGAAGCTGACAGCCACGTGGACAAGCACAGTAGTGGGGGATCAGTCAACACTCACCAGAACAAACCAAATTACTTCCAGAGTTTGTTGTAATATCTACACTCATTTTTTGGAGAGAATTTAGTTCCTGTCAAAAGGGAAAACAGCCCTGTAGCTGAGGATAGAGGAGTGCCCATGGAACAAGCAGGGTCAGCAGTAGTAGAAGGCTTCCCCAGCAATGTGCAGTCAGGTAACGTCAAAGCATCCTTCCTAGGAAGTAGAGATAGTTGAGATATCCTATTCCCCCTGTGCTATTTTTGGGTGTATATTCCCAATACACTACAACTGTGTTGGGTACAGTGATCTGCCTCAGCTAATTAACCCTTCCATGAAAGAATTCTTGGTTTGAATGGGCAACTGGGTGGTGAAAAATGCTATTTGAAGCATGGCTCGAGTGCCTTGTGACACACTGGTGCTTGTTTAAATCTGCCTGTTTAGCAGTGTCCTGGTTCACACCAGAACACAGCTCTGACTGTTCCCTGTGTTTGCTGCAGATGTCCTGCCACCCCGAGCTGAACCAGTACATCCAGGACACCCTGCACTGTGTAAAGCCCCTGCTTGAGAAGGTAAGAGCTGTGGGCAACAGTACTGCAAGTGGGTTTGACAGAAATCTGGGACATAAATACTGTCTTCTTTGCAAACTTTGCAAATGTAGTGCATACACTACAATAGCTGATCAAGTTATGAACAAAAATAAATGTTAAATCCATAATCTTGCCTTACAGTTAATTCCTTACCTTGCTATTCCTTGCTGCTGATCATTTAGGTGCATCTGGTACATGCAGGTAAGAATGTACATCTATATTTTCCCTGACATCATCCTACATGTTAAATATATTCAAAAGCAGAACATCAAGTTTAAGCACCTATCTGGCAGAACACTTTGAGTCTTTTGCTGTAGGCCAGCAAGCAAAGGTAGGGTTGAAATCCCATTTTTTTTTTTAAGAGAACAGTGTGACCATGTGAAGTGGTTCAGGATGTAAGATGCTGGCTGATTTTGGATTCTCTGCTCTTTACAGACAACTTAATGCACGTTTAGAGGATGGAAATAGGTCAGTTTTACATTGCAGTGGTACAAAGCTGCCACATCTGGCCAATGGCCTAAGCCTACCATCCCTTTCTCAGTATTTTCCACCTCTGAGCAGTGTGGGGAGCTGGCTGTGCATTTCCTCCTTTGCTCCAAAACAGTATTTAGAAAAATGCACTCTTTAATGCACTTCATCTCCCTAGGCCTTAGTGATAAGCTATCAGTGCAATATCTGGCAAGAAATACCTTTACAAAAGCCTTTTCTTCTGATAGGCAAGAGTAATGTGACAGTGCTCAAGCTTTGGGTAACTGCTAGTGTTGTGAGCCACAAGTCAGCCTCCTGCCACTGTACCAGAAGCACACGAAGCACCCTGGGGAGAGGAAGACAGCTCGTTTCAGGGCAGGGATTTTCCTATCTTTGTTCTTGCAGAATGACGTGGAGAAGGTGGTGGTTGTGATCCTGGATAAAGAGCACCACCCTGTGGAGAGATTCGTCTTTGAGATCACCCAGCCACCCCTTCTGGCCATCAGGTGAAGTTTCCATGGCTCTTTGCCCATGGCCTCCCTCTGCAGAAGCAGCTCCAGGCCCCCCCCTGCTCTGCTGCATGCCAGTAACAAGCTCTGTGTCCCCAACAGCTCCGAGTCCCTGCTGTCCCACGTGGAGCAGCTGCTGCGTGCCTTCATCCTGAAGATCAGCGTGTGTGATGCTGTGCTCGACAACAATCCCCCAGGTAAATGTGTCCTCACAGCCCAGCAGCACTGGGTCACTCCCCCTGAGGCAGCAGGGAGGGGCTGGGCCCTGATCTGCAGCCTGCTGTCTCTCTTGCAGGCTGCACCTTCACAGTCCTGGTTCACACACGGGAGGCTGCCACCCGGAACATGGAGAAGATCCAGGTGATAAAGGTGAGTGGTACCTTTGGCTACCTGCCTGCCTGTGAGCAAGCTGCAGAGCAAAGCCTGGAAATGGCTGAGTTTGGGGTATACCTCTAGGATGGAAGCTGCTAGGTATTCTGAAGGTGCACATTGGCTTCACAGGATGCATTTCAGAGCTTGGCTTTGAATGTGTTAAATGGTTTACACTGGTGAGGTGAGGGAGCACGTTCACCACACACCAGCCACGACTGCAGGCAGTAGCTGCTGCAACACCACTGCCTGCACAGTGCCTGCTCAGCCACAGGGAACTACTCTGACACAGAGGAGAGGTACTTGTATTCACAGCAACAAGCAGCCCTCACCCCCCATCCACTACATGCAGCTAGCAGGCTCTTTATAAATAGCAAGGGAAGCCAAGATTCAAGTAACCAGTGGGTTTTGTGTGCACAAATACACTTTATCTTGCAGGAAAGTGTGTGCAGGCACTTTTTAAAGCAAGACTTTTTTAAAGAATCCTTGCTGAGGTACAGAGGAACTTTTTTTTTCCCTGAGCCAAGTTATTTTGGGTGTCCCAAGGCAGAGTAAATGAAATTAGTGAAGTAGAAAATGGTCTCAAAAGGGGAGTCTGGTCTGTAGTGCTTAGTGATGGAAGCTGGTGGTATGGTAGGGCAACCTTTAAACTTGCAGGGCAGAAGTCCATGCCCTGAGTGTTTTGGAGTTGCAGTTAAATGCTGGTGTAATGAACAGAAGGCCATGCTAGCTCAGGACAGCTAGGAGTCCATCTGTCAAAGTAGTAAGATGTCCTCTTTGGACTAAGTAAAGGGCTTAACATTATCTTGAGTTACAGCATCAAACTATAATTACAACGAGTCTCAGGGACAAGTGTGTAAGTTTTGCTGCTTTGAAAGGTTTCAGTTACCTGCTTCTTCCCTCAGCCACCAAATCTCACATTCACTTAATGCTGAGCAAAAAAAAGTCTCACCTTAGAGTCTACCAGCCTCTCCACAAACAGAGCACCCCTGTGTTCCTGCCCCTAGGATTTCCCCTGGATCCTTGCTGATGAACAGGATGTGCACATGCATGACCCCCGGCTTATTCCCCTGAAAACAATGACATCTGACATCCTAAAGGTGAGCAGAGTGTGCTGGGCCAAGAGCTGGCTGAAACTGCAGCTAGTCCTAAGCTTTGTCTTCTCTGATCTCAGATGTAAGGTAACAATTTTAATGCCACTGAGCAGCAGCTTAGTCCTGCAGATGCCTGTGCTGCTATAATCCAAAGAGGGCAAGGCTCCTCATGATAAAATAGGAAAGCTGGATATGGGGGAAGGTACAAACTCCTCCTGGTTAGCCTGGTGTAGGTTTTTTTCCTGTTCACTCACTGCCTATCAAATGGAACTGATGCTTGTTTCTCTCCTCCAGATGCAGCTGTACGTGGAAGAGCGAGCCCACAAAGGCACCTGATTTCAAATCTTCCTTGCCTTCAAGCCTCATCTGATCTTCCAGTGGAATAAGAGATCTCACAAAGCACACCTTGCTAACCATCTCTTCAGCTGGCCTTCTGGGTGAATGTAGAGCAGCTGCTGCCTCTTTATTTCAAGTGCTCTTACCACTGTATATAGAACTGACTTGGAATGTGGAGCCAGAGCCTGTTCCCACGTGAGCAAGCAGGGGTTGTCAGGGTGGATCCCTGGGGCAGGAGATTGGGCACTGCAGTCAGTGCTTTGTACAGATCCAGCTCTCACCTCAGCTGGGCACCTCCATGGCCCGTGGGCAGTGCTGGGCAGCAGTGGGCTCGTGCCCAGGGTGAGCAGGGCCTTACATAAGTGTCTGTCCACTGTGACCGTCCCAAGTAGTCTTCAATAAATATTTGCTTCTACCCCAGTTGAACTAGGCTGAGCTCTGTCCAAACCAGCCTCCTCCCTTAAGTGAGGAAGTATTTTTCTTGTGTATGGAGCTTTGTATTTTGTGTGGAGCTCCCACAACTTTCCCATCCCTTTTCTGGAACACGTGGCATCTGTCAGCTCTATGAGAGGCTGCACAACCTGGGTCTCTCCCCTTTCTGTTTCACCCACAAGTGGCATTAGCAAGGTGGAGTTTGTCTGTCCAGCAAGGACACTTGGCACAACATCCTACTCCTAAGGGGACAAGGGAAATGCTGTTAATCCTACACCTAACAAAGGAGGTGGAAGAAGGCCTTAGCATTGGCTCTGTGCATACAGGGGTAGGAGACACGGTTCATAGGATTGGAGCTGAGCTTGTTGATAAGACAGCCTTATCAATAGTAATTATTGGAATACCTGCCTGCTTCCTCCAAGTAAAAAGTGCAAGAACACACTTGGAGGCTGTGTGCTGCTTTAACATTTTATATAGGGTTAGACTGCTCAGTACAAACTAAGTACAAAGGTAGCATGGAAAAAGTTCAGCACAATCAAAAAGGCATTTATGTTGTCAGGTAGCCACTGTAAGGGACTTTTTGTAGCCCACTGTTGTTTGAATAAACAGCTAGAGAAAGAGTATTTGGTATTTGGACAGGGAAGGCATGGTCCATTTTGATCATACACACTTAAGAGAAATGGGAAGGAACTGAGTACCAGTGACACAGTGTTTATGAAACAGAGCTGACAGTTTCCTTATGCTCTGAAAGGTCCAGTGTGAAAGATACAGGTTTTTATACTTAAACTGAAGTGGGAAAATACCATACAAAACAAGTCTCTCTCTCTGTAGCAGAGCCCTTGAGGACAGCATAGATAATGTGAAGTGAAACATTTTAGCCTTATCTTTTGTAAGTTCCATAAACAATCAAGAAAGTGTTTCTATTTCAGACTTAGTGTGCTATGGCCAAACAAGATGTTGTAATTATCCTAGTCTTCCTCCTGTGGAAGGGCACTAATAATTGCAGTAACATCCGTGGTAGAGGAGGATGAAAGATGAAGACAGAAGTCCTTCCAAAGGGCTGAGCCTGCAGGAGTTCTGCCGTGAGCAAGGAAAACTAGCTGATTGTATTTGAGATCAACTGTGCAAGCCAAAGCCAGGACACTCACCCAGAGAGTACAGACAATAAGTGCACCTGAGACCACCAGGTCACAGTCCTGAGGTAAAAGCAAAGCTCCTGTAGTGCCTTCCCAAGGAGGTCAGGGCCCGATGGTGATGCTGCTGTTGGTCACCCGCACCCCGTACCAGCCTGCCCAGAACTGGGTGTCCTGGCCCCCGTGCTGGAACCAGATGTAACGAACCCCAGCTGGATAGTTCTGGAAGGTGTGAGAAATCTGGAGAGAAAGAAGAAAATCCCTCTTAATTTGCCTGGAATAAATCAGCACTGACCTAGAAGCTCTGACCACTACAGTATGCGAGTCTTGGTCTTGTGAAAAGCTCATCCTAAGATATTTTTCACTCAAAGTGCATCAAAGCCCCTTTGGAGGGGCTGGAAAAAAGCTTCTACACATTCAGCCTTCTGCCCTGAAATCCTCTCCAAGTGAAATGTAATGTTAAGCCTGATTCTTAGGGTACATTTGTCACATAAGCAACAACTTAATGGGGAATCTAAAGCCAACCAAACCAGTTAAACATGTTCAGCAGTTTAATATCTGCAATACCTTAAGTACAACCACCTGGGAGTTTTAAAAGGAAGCTTTTTGATCCAATTGGAACAAGAATTGTGCTCTTGCAACTTATTTAGACAAAAACTCAAGTGAAAACCAGCAGCAATTAAGCAAACTGAGCTATAATTACACAGAAGCCTGGGGGGGATACTCTTTAGAAAAACCCTGGGCACCTACACACCAAACCAAGCTTCTTCAGGGCTGCTTCAGCATTGTCAGCAGCAAGGACTTACCTGTTGTGTTGAGTAGAGGAGGATGAAGAACAGAGAAGGAAGGTCCACTGGGGGCTTTTGGTAAGATTCAAGTGTCACAAGAGTGATGTAAAGCTACTGCCCGTGGGGCTGCTGCTTACCTCTCTCCACGTGGCATCACTCCACTGCTCTATGACCACGGGCTCAGGGTGGAACTCCTCCAGGACAATGTAGTCTTCAGAAAGCAGCCTGACGGTGAGTTCATAGCGGCACCCGCAGTCAAACCTGGCGGCGTACCTGGAGAGGGCAGGAGCAGTGCAGGGGAGGGTTGTAAGACAGCCTGACAGCCTTCTGCTCTCTTCAGTGCTCACTAAGTCTCCCAGGGGATCCCCGTCTGCAGAGGAGAAGGAACGTGATGATCCCCATAGCTAAAACTTCCCCCTGTCCTGCTCTTCACAGAACTGTTGCTATCTCCTCACCGAATAAACTTAGATTTAACTTCTGCTTTACTCAAGAACTGCAACTCTCAAAGGACAATGAATTTTATAGCATGAAAAGCTTCAGAGACCTAGTTTAGGCCAATTCTAGTTTTCAGTGCACACACTTACCAGTCCTTGACTACAATTTCAGGCCGTGTCTCATCCATCAACTGGTTCCAGTATCCTTCATTTTGCAGGGTGATGAGTTGGGACTTGAGGCATGACCTGCAACAGAGATACTCCCAACTTTACAAACTCATCTCTTCCCTCTGAACATCCACACTTTTCCTGAGAGCTTTACTCACCAAAAGCCCAACCAGACCCTAAAGGCCACATGGCTAAGATATGCCTTTTTCCATAGGCAGAACCAGCCAAGGAAGCAAGCTCATCAGCTTGGCCCACAGATAAAAGGAATAGTTACCTGCAAACTGGATTAGGAGGGGTCCCTGCACTTGTACATTATATATTGGCAAAAGGAAATTACTGCCTAATGGCTGTAAAAGCAGCTAATCCTCCTCTGTTGAGGTTTCCATGGCAAGCTGTTAGCAGGACAAACACTTCTAGCTTTTACAGAGACCTTGTCAGGTAAGTGCTCTGATGAGCTCACCACACCTTAACCTTTGCCCATCGCCTTTGGTAGAAGAGCAGCAGGGATTCCATGTGCATTATCATGACCATAAAAAGGAATCAGGAAATTCCTGATGTGGACAGAGATATTTAACACCTGCTGCAGCTAATTCTCTCAGCAATACACCCCTCTCTTTAGACTAACAAGTAGAAAAGGTTAATTAAGCTCCTTCTTTTCCCCACACGTGGTTCAGTGACCTGCCTCAAGCCTTCTAACCATAGTGCCTCACAGACAGACAGGAGGAAGCTGCTCTGCCAGCTCCAGATGACTGGAATCCAGTTCTTACCCATATGAAGTGACAAAGTATTTGTGTACTGTGGGGTCTGGTATGCTGTTTCCATGAGCTCCAGGCAGGTTCTCAATCTTCCATTTATCTCCTCCGTTTTTATCAATTTTCCAGTGCTGAAATTTCTCTAGAAACATAGATAGCAAAGATGAGCGTTAGGGCCTCACTTCAGTTTTCCAGCAGCATCTCTGCTTTTGTTAAAGAATCAGCTACAGGAGAGCATCAGGAACCTACCCTGAGTTTCCAGCTACACTGTATTTTCCCTGCAGCTGAAAGCCACTCCTGGTCTTTAGGTTGCCATTACTCCTAACGTGCCTGTCAGCAGCTAGGACACCAGGTAGCAACTTTCTGACCACAGCAGAAACTCAGTAGTAAAGTAGAATTACTGTAATCCTATTAGCCAAATCTTTGACAAGAAAAATCCCCCAGCTGCCTGAATATTTAACCCCAACACCCAACATTTCATCCCCACGTTGGGCGTGCTGTGCAAATGACCCATCGCTGGCTGCAGCGCCGGGGCCTTAGTGACTTCAGAGAGATTTTTTTGGGTCACAACCACGGAGTTGGGTTCTCACTGTGGTTTTCCAGCACGTGTTTACTCGTGGATCTGACCCAGCAGAGATCTGTCCATCACTGGACAGTGCCACGACACCAGCAGGACTTGAGTAATGCAGGACACTGACTCACCCTGCTAGGAAACTGAGCCCTCGACTATAAATAGTCAGACCAACCTTCTGCGCAGGGGTTTTTGATTAAGTTTTTCTTCAAGCTGCAGAGCATGTAGAAGATCTTCCAGTCAGAGACGGTCCTGTCCAAACTCTGGAGGTAAAACCCTTCTCGCTGGCACTTGCGTTTCCAGAGGGTGGCCAGGTCTACCACGTAGCGCCACTGGGTGCAGACCAGCCTGCAGGTGC